TTGTACTCCTAGAAATTTATTGATGAGGCAGACAAGAAGTCTCTAAATAAAGGTCTACTCTGCCATGAAATTGTTATTTCCTGATGGTGTATGAAAAGAGATTAAGAATAAGGACACTTTTAAAGTTCATCCATAGAGAATTTGTTATAAATGTTAGTTCATAATAAATTTATTTAGAGTTACAAATGCTACACATTTTAATAAGAACTAAATTGTAGATAGAATTCCAAAAAAATTTATTGAGAATAAATTTACAGAATTAAAGATGAGTGGTTATTATTTCTACTTTAAGTATTGTTTTTAGTTTTTATATACAAAGAACTGACTGGTTAGTTGGTTAATGCAAGGCATTGACATATCCTGCACTGTGGGTTTCATAGCTGGTTTCAGTTATGTCTGTTATGACGGATAGCTGGATCTGACCTAAATTATATTTGGCTCATCTAACATGGTAAATTATGCATAACTCATAATACTAATGAAACATTTTGATATTCTTGATGAATAAAAATGTAACAGATGCTTAATAAATATTTCCTTCTGGAAATAAAAAAAGTATATATCAAATTTATATTTATATGAAGATGAACACTGATTCAAGTTGTACAAAATAGTTTATTTTAAATGACGAAATTAATTTAATTTAGTAAATTTTTTAATAATAAATGAATTAAAAACTTGTTTATTAAAATTATTAATTATTTACCATATAATAAGTTTTTAAACAATTGCAAAAGAAATTGTATGTGAAAATATTTAAATTAAGAATGAGAAAATTGATTACTTTTAATTCTCTTTTTTGAGTAAGTATCTGAATTATCAGATTATTTTTATGGTAGATTTTGAGTCAATTTTTAATTAATTAAATTACAAATTTAATTAGTATTAATAGAAGCTCTGGTTACATAACTATCTACTTTTAGGTTAAATTTCATAATTTAATTAATTAAAAATTGACTTTAAATCCAACCAGAATAATACTGCAATTTGGATTGAATGTTAAATCATACTTTAATTATGTTGTATGCTTTTTTGAGTATATTTTACAGACTTTAATTTATCAAAAACAAAAATAAAACTTTAATGGCCTCATTAGAACTTTATAAGATACAAATGTTCCAAATTTCAGCTGTCTTAAAATAAATCATAGTCAAAGAAAGCATTTTTTCTTCCCAGAAAGTTCAGGACTATATATTTACAGATTTATTGATGATACTTTTACTTAAATTAAACTAAAATTAATGAGTAATTTCAGTTTTATTATTCAAAGTGTCTTCAGATTTATTTAAGAAAAAATATTTTAAGAAATCAGTAAATATTTGTATGGTGTTAAATAATTCATAAGCTGTTTTAGAAAATACTTTAGAACTACTAAAATAAAACTACAATGTACCAGAAAGTGAAATATCTGAAAAATATTACAATTAACAAATTGCTTTAAATAATTTTTATCAGTACCATCAGATGAGATGGTTCAGATGATAGAATCATATCATTTATCTAAATCAATTAACACAAAAGCCTAGATACCATCAAAACTTCACTTACAATTCACACAAACATTTTAGTCCACATTGAATTGGACATCTATGGCCTAAAGACGTCCAGTTGAATGTGGATGAAAACATTTGCGTAAATTGTAAATGAAAGTTTGCTGGATTTGGGCTTTTTTGTCTGTTGATATAATACATTTTAACCAGCATTTAGCTGTTGTCTATATCATTTATCTTTGGGAAAATAGCCATTGTTGTCTAATACTTGCCAAAAACTTTGTAATTTTAGTTGAAACAATGAAAGCTCATCAATAAATCCTTCCATGATGCTTGTTACTGTTATCAACAACTTTTTATAAAAACATTTTCATCTTCCTTTCAGCCATCTTCAATTTTTATAAAGTTGTTGGTAACTGTAACAAGCATTGTGGAAGGACTTATTTAAAATTATGGTTTTAAGTTTTATAGATTTCAAGGATTATAAAGTTGAAAACTTGTTACTGTATTATCTTTTGGAAAATTCCAATATTAATATATAATGTTAAATCAAATTTAGAATTTTAGAGATGAAATTCAATTTGATAGAAGTTTCAGTTTTAATCCAATGAATATTGCAGAATTAATACTTTTCAGTACAGTATTAAACAGTTCAAGTGAATACTGTGAAGAAGCAGAAACAGGATATAGTCAAGTTTCATTTTTGAAAAAACAAAAAATTATACAATTTGATGATATTGCAATGAAGACATTCTAAAATTATTTGTTTAAAACTATTTTATTAAATAACACAAAATAAACTAGTTTTACATGGCTTACTTCCAAAATATTAAATGGATTTTAAATCAAATGATTATATAGCTGCCAAATAATTACATAATTATAAATTAAACAATAGAATATATTTGATTAATAACAACAACAACTTGATACTTTACAATTTTAAAATTACTCTGGGTAGATCTACAGAAAATTGGAAGTAAATCATAACAGTTTCTGAAAATGTTAGAAATGACTTTTTGTTAATGTCTAAAATGTTATATATTTTTTCTCTCTTATCATTAACTAAAAATATTTGATTGTGTGCTACTAAATATTTAATATTTGGTTATACATATCAGATGATCATAATTAAAGTATTCTTAATGCTATCTAAACAGACATTCAGCAATCCCACTGCAACCAAATCTGGTATGGTGACATTTCAAAACATGAGTATGAAAATTTTCATGTCTCTTTGGAACTGCAAGCACCAGAAAAACAATTTTCTTGCATAAGTACACATGTTGTAGCCAAGTTATGGGTATGAAAGAGGCTACAGCTGTTGAATATCATTCGTTACAATGGCCATTACCTTGTCTAAATGCATATTTCTTGTGTAGTACTTGTTGTTTTCATAAAACAATTGTAATATTGCAGCTGCATTTTGGAAAATTTGCTGTCATAAGAATTTATGCTAAGACAAGGGCCATTGACTCTACAAGCTCTCAAAAGAATGATCACAAGAAAACTGGATGACTAGGAGTTCAACCTAGTTGAGGGCACAAACCTATCACTTCACAAATAATTGAAGATATTACCACAGCTGTTGTTGAACAATTAGTGAATAATGTGTTCCAGTAGCAAATGTGCAGTGTCACAGTAGTTGGGTATATCCTATGGCATAGTATGAAAGGAACTGAGAAAGTTGGTACATTGTTGTTTGCATAAGATCAGCTACGATCAACAGTTACTTGCTACTGACAGGAAAACTGGACAAAGGATTTGCTATTCCACCTGAGTGGAACAGTAAATACTTGTAACTGTTGCATTAGTACTTCAGAAAACTCTCTTGTTTACCATTAGATTTACTGCATTCACCTAAAGTTAGTCAGGTGTGGATTCACACCTGATACATTTATTCTTGGACTGTTCTTTGAAAAAATTAGTTTCAATGGGCCTATGATGAGCTCTGTGATCAGAAGTATCAAGAGATGCTCAACACTTTTGCATGAATTAATTGTGGTGACAATGTCTCCACAATTACATTCATGCAAGATGGATTGCCTCTACATATCAGATACAGTCGACCCCCCTATAACACGGTAGATACGTTCCGTTCTTTATGAATCCATTTTGTATGAGTCCTTGCCAATCACAGCCCGGCACGTATGCACTTTACGGACTACGGCTGTTTGAAAGGTTTTCTTCCATAAAATTAATCGATTCCTAGACGAATTTGACTCAACATTTCCAAAACACATATATTTTTTGGGAATAACCTGTATAAACTATACTATAAATAAAAAATTGTAGGATTACTTACCGAGTGTGCACCGTTCGATGTCGCCATTGCTTAAGCTTGTTTTCATCGCGGAGCAGTGCACCAAATGGCGGATGCGATTTCTGATAAGTTATTTTTCTGCGAAAACTTCGTTGAACTTTGGAGACATCATTAATATAAATAATTTTTATGGCCGTTGAATAAGAAATGTTTCTTTCACAAGAAATGTATAAAATTAGTGCTGTATTAGACTTACGGTACCTAATTTACATACTGTACAGACGATAGTAAATTCAACTTACTCACCTAAACTCTCCATAGCATGGCGCTGGATGGCGGAAAGTATATATATAATTATAATAGTTACAATAAATTAAGTTAATATATAATTATATGTACAGTACGTAATTTATATATAATTAATATATAATTAAATGTACAGTACTTAATTTATATGTAATACTGTACAGACGATAGTAAACTCAACTTACCCGCCTAAACTCTCCATAGCGTGGCGCTGGATGGCGGAAAGTAGTTCGGCTGCCCGATGACGTTTTACCAAATTATAGGAGTTTTTTTACCATGTTTGTACGAATACCGTCGCAATTTTTTCTCCTTCATATAGGAATCCAAACTATAGGAACCCATGTTATAGGGGAGTCGACTGTATTGTGTACAATAGTTTGTGACATCATTTCACTAATAACAGAGTGATTAGCTGTGTGTTTTCTATCACCTGCCAACCTCAATCTCAAGATCTTAATTCATGTGATTTTTGTTTGTAAAGACTCTTAAAAAGTGTGATTTATCAAGGACTTTTTGCAAATTTAGCAGCCTCAAAAGGCAGTATCATACTTTATTGAGAAGAGCACAGAGGATAGACTGATTATGGTCAGCTGTTCACTTTCAAATTTTACATTTGTAGGATGAGGGCTACATTGAACTGCTAACTAAGTTCTCTGTACAGCATGAATGTTTTGTACAAATAAAATGTTTGTTGTTTACAGTGCCAAAAGTGTTAGCGATGAGTTTTGATACTAATTTTTGTTTTTATGAAAATGTCTTGCAAATGAATGTCCTGAAATGTCACCATAGCCTATTTGGTTGCATTTGGATTTCTAAATATAATTTCCTTTTTATCTCAGTGTGATAGGTAGGTTATAAATGAATTTTTCTGAGTGTGATTTACTAATTTTATGTAGTAATTGTAAATGTAAGAAGAATTCTAATTAAAAATCTATTTTCAGAGGAGGACGAATAGAACTGGGGGATGTGACTCCTCACAACATCAAACAGTTAAAAAGATTAAATCAAGTTGTTTTTCCTGTTAGTTATAATGACAAATTCTATAAAGATGTTCTAGAAGCTGGTGAACTAGCAAAGTTAGGTAAGTTATAAAATTTATAATTTAAAATATAAATTCTGAAGAAGCAAGAATTGATTGACTGACTGTTGATAAAATTCAGAATTAAGAATGCTAGTTATCAGTTTTAAGTGAATGTTATGGATGAAATGTTTATAATCATTTTGATATCCTTCAAGTATTTTAAAGAAAAACAAAATTATTTAATAAAGGTGAGAGCATTTTCAATTCATTAAAGATTGATATTTTTATTGCTGTTTGCTTTGTGTCTAGTTGTATCTACTGATTTCTTTACTGGCTATTGAGGCCCTTATTACTAAACTTGTCACAATTGATGCAAGAGAGGACAATGCACTCTTCTTTCAATTCCCTTTATTTGAAATTAGTATGCACTTCAGACTGTTAGTCTCTCATCAGCCAATTTTTATCTATATAAATAATTACTCTTGTTATTTTTTAATAAATAATAAACCAACAAAGGAATAAGAATTTACAAACTGAATAGAAAAGAAGTCATATGTCATTTTGTACAACAACCCTATGGGAAGAAATTTAGGAATATGTTAATTTATTATAAACCTATGTAATGTAATTATATTGTCATTACATTGTTGGTTTAGTATTTATTAAAAAAATAACAAGAGTAATTATTTATACAGATAAAAATTGGCTGATGAGGGACTAACAGTCTGAAATGCATACTAATTTTAAATAAAGGATATTGAAAGAAGAGTGGATTGTCATCTTTTGCATCAATCGTGACAAGTCTAGTAATAAGGGCCTCAATAGTCAGTAAAGAAATAAATTAATATTTTTATGTAAGATATGCTTGTAACTCTATTCCTTCTCCAATTCTAATAGAATAATTGATAATATTTGATAAAACAATCATTAACAAGAACAAAATATTTTAATTACAAGTGTAATGAAGTTGAAATTTCCATGTACTCTGATTAGATGGCTTGTAGTCTCCACTGTCTATTTTATATGTTTCATTAACTTTGTCTTCATTTCTTAAGAATGTGCCATTCATTTTAATGCAATGTGTAGTTTACTAAACTTTATCTCTACATTACAGACCCTCTAATGGTGATTACAATTTTATTTTACTCTGTTTTACTTATTTTCTGCTTGTTCATTGTATTAACTAACTATTGTGTTTTGCCATTAAATAAAGAAATGTCTGAATACTTAGTAACAAAGAGAGAAATGGATATCTAGTGATTCTCTTATATCAGTAAATAATCAAATCAACACTTTAATTTTATTTATTTTATTTTATTCCATTTCATTTAGAATTATTGGTTGATGGACATATAAGTTTATTTTGCTTTCTAGCATCTAGCACCTTAATGTTATTTTAGGAATGTAGATAGGGTGACTGGTTTATACAAGAACAAGGTATAAATTTCCACCAGAAGAAATAATGAATAAACTTTTTCCTATTTATGAGATTTTCATTTATGAGAGGCTTTTGAGAATGATGTATGCTAATAAATTGGAGTGTATAGATAAATCTGAAAAAGAAACTATACACACCAAATGCCAAAAGCCAGTTAAAGGAATAAAAATATTTACTTATACAAATGTTTTTGTCCATTTGTAATGAACATCATCAGGTATTCCATAAGGAAAACAGAACAAGCAATTGAACACATGTCAATACTTATTGCCTTGGTAACACAAGCACAAACATGTACAGCCTTACCAAGATAAATTAAAAATTGTAATTTTAAAATTAAATTGCCTATATATACGTGTACAGAAATAAAAAATAGAACAGAAGTCCTAGGAGAGTTTGAAACATGCCCTTCATGCTGAAGAAAGTGTATTGGTTTCTCTAATGCATTTGATTGCTTGTTCTATTTTCCTTACTGAATACCTGATGATGATCGTTACAAACAGACAAAACATTTGTATAAGTAAATATTTTTATTCCCTTTACTGGTTTTTGGGTATTTGAGTGTTTAGTTTTATTCCAAACAACCAATTTTATTGCTATGGTGAATAGTGTAAATAAACTTTATATAAAGAATATTTTTTATAATTTTATAAATTATTTTAATAGTATTAAAAGATATTTTAGTATAACTAAAATTAATGTAACTTATTTTAAACTTTAACATGTTTCTGCATCATTTGACCTTCGTTACAATGTATCAGAACCAATTTTGTATCGTTTTGATGCTGGAAGTTTTTGATAAATTGTATGTGCATTATTTTTCAGATGTCAGACTACCTGGAAGTGTAATAAACATTTTTGAGAAAATATTTTATTTCTTGGTTTCTTAATTTCCCTAAGAATATTTAATTATAGTTGTTTTTCATTACTTATATCTTATATTCACTTAAAATAAGTTTATTATTACACAATAACAATTAAATGTTTTTCATTTTTTTTAGCTTATTATAATGACATTGTAGTAGGAGCTGTTTGTTGTCGTATAGATACCTCAGAGAATTCACGACGTTTATATATTATGACTTTAGGATGCTTGGCACCGTATCGACGCTTAGGAATAGGTAAATTATTATTTACTTTTTATAATATCATGTAAGACCAATATAAAAACTGTTCATTAAATTATTCAGTTTCAAATTTTTTTTGAGTTGGAAATATGATTATTATTTTATATTCAATGAAAATTTTAAAATTATGTATATATATATATATTATATAAATGCATTCTTTTGTTATATAGCTTAAATAATATATAATCAACAATTCAGTTCCAGTTTCTGTTAATCAATTACCCAAATTCTGGAATTTTCAAGCCAAAAACTGCCTACCTTTAGACCTCAAAAATCTAGTGTTTAGGTAATTGATGTAGAAATACAAAATGCATGGGTAATTCAAAAATTAAAGGCAATTTTTTTATTAGTCATGTAATATACAAGTTGATGCAAATTAACAATTTACTTTTTGACATATTTCCCGTTACTGTTAGACAGGGCTGTGGAGTCGCGTAAAAATCTACCAACTCCGACTCTGGCTAAAACACCAAAACTCCACGACTCCGATTCCACAGCCTTGCTGTTAGACACTTGTAATGGTGGTCCAGAAACTTACAGATTCTGCCAGAGGAAAAGTTCTTTGGCTGGGCATGTAGTCAATTGTTCGCTACCACTTTCACTTCATCACTAGTGAATTTGTTACCATGTAGTGCTTTACTTAGAAGTCCAGACAAGTGGTAATTAGTGGGAGCAAGGTCTGGTCCATAAGTGGATTGGGAAGAATATCAAACTTGATCTTTTTAATGGTTTGCATAATTCTGGAGGCAGTTTGAGGGGACACATTTTCATGAAGCAATAAAATCTTCTTGAACAGCAGTCCTTTGTGTTAAGTGTGAATTGCAGGCTTGAGAATGTCTTCAAGTAAGGCACAACATGTGCATTGTTAACAGTTTGTCCCTGTTCATGAAAATCCACAAGAATAGGCCCTTTCATATTCCAGAAAACAATCAACATGATTTTTTTGGTAGAGAGAAAAATTGCAAACTTTTCATTCTGGTAAGCTTGGGTGTTTCCATTGCATGGTTCATCTCTTGTTCTTGGACTCATAATACCTTCTCACTTCTCATCACCTATGACTCTCCTTGCCAAAACACTGAGATCTTCATATTACTAGCATTCAAATTAGTGTGCAACATAAATTTGTTATTGTTTAGGTGCCATCTTGTGCACATTTTCCATTACTTCAGGTCATCATGCATTATTGTATGCATTATTGATCCAATGCTGATATCCAAATGTTGAGAAATTTAGGCTACAGAAATTCAGCAGTCTTTGATCATTGTTTCAGCTCTCGTCACATGTGAAGTCAATTTGTTCTTCCAGACTTGAACTACTTTCCTCTGAGACATGCAGCCACTTCCATAGTGTGCCAAATTCTTTGGTGGATTTCTGTTGGTTTTATGTTTTCTGCCTGCAAAATGCAGTTTCTGGAATACACTTCCTATAATGTGTGATTGACAAGTGGAGCTTCCACCTTTCCAAGGCAATGGATGGAATGATAATAAAACAATTGCAGTAACAAATGCTTTAGCAGATTTGCCTGACACTTGTTCATGTACAACATTTGCAGTTTACCTGTATTTACAATAATGGCACTGGAATTTTTGAATTGCCTTTAATTTTTTGTATTACCTACATACAGTATATATAAATGCAACCTTTTATTATGTAGCTTAAATAATATGTAATCAACAATTTAATGTCAATTTCTGTTAATCAAATGCTGGATTTTTCAGTCCTAATGGTAGGCAAAAACTGCCTATCTTTAGGTCTTGAAAAATCAAGCATTTAAGTAATTGATACAGAAGCACAAGTAATACTTAAAATATTTTAAATAAATTTCTAGAATAGCATTGGAAATTACATCAATAACAATTAAATTTAAAATTGTCTTAATTTTCACTTTAAAAGCTTGCAAATGAATGTGGTTATCTACAATTTCTCTTGGAAAAGAAATACATTAGATTGATTATTGCAATTACAGATGTTGTTAACAGTTATTTTGTGTTAAAATACAGTGATAAAAAGCCGTCTTTTCACAATATTTTTTTTATCTGATAACAGAAAATCATTAGAGCCAAAAGATGTAATCTGGCAAGTATCTGGTTTTAATCTAAAATTGGGTTTATGGGTGCCAAGTTTGTTGGGCAGGCCAAGGTAGAAGTAATATCTGTCATGTTGAGAAGTCTAGAACACTCCTAGCAACATGTGGATGGGCATTGTTCTGTTAAAATACAGCTCCAGAAATGCATTGAAAGAAGGGTATGACTTCAGACCCCACAACTTCCCTGATGTAGCAGTTGCTATTGAGATACCCGCAATTCTGAGTGCGATCCCTCCCCTCATTTACATACTTATTTGCTAACAATAAACTTTTTCTATTTGTCTGACAGTCTATTTTTCGACAATACTCGCTAACCTTTTACATTATTCTTTTTGACAATTTTCGGGATGTTTTTATTCTTTAAGGTTTAGCAAGGTCCTAAGTTATGCTTGTGGGGTCTCCCCCCCTTTTCTTGGTGTGGACTTACTTTTTTCCACTTGGGAGCACAAGTGCGTGCGAGTTTTTCCTACAGCGCTTTTCTCTCGTCGGTGAGTTGGTTTCTCTTCTATTTTTAAGTTTCTAAGGTGAATGGTGAGGAAACCTTCATCCTAAGAAAACATAAGCTTCAAACGAAAATAGAATAAAAGCAAAAATAAAAGTAACTAAAAATAATGCTTGGACTTGGTTCCTTACAATATGGAAATATATATATATATATATGTGTGTGTGTGTGAAGTCACTTTAATCGTTCATTAAATTATTCAGTTTCAAA